TGCCCAGCGACAGGACAAGGGACAGCAGGCACAAACTGAAGCAGAGGAAGTTCCATCTGAACATGAGGAAGAACTTCTTCACTCTGAGGGTGACGGAGCACTGGAACAGGCTGCCCAGGGAGCTAGTTTCCTTCTCTGGAGATATTAAAAAACCCGCCTGGACAAGTTCCTGTGCAGCCTGCTGTGGGTGACCCTGCTTCGGCAGGAGGGTTGGACTAGATGACCCACAGAGGGCCCTTCCAACCTCTACCATTCTGGGATTCTGTGATTCTGTGAATCAGGGTCCCCCAGCCCACCAGCAGCCCCTGGTCAGTAGTGTGTCCCATCCCCAGCTCCCACTCGGCTTCAGAAATCCCAAGTGAGATATTTCTGGGAAAAGGGAGGATCTACTCTTCATCTATATCGTTATTACTCCAGCTGGAGTACTGGGGGGAGGTTTGGAAAATTTCTGGAGGGGGTTTGCTGCTGAAGGCCATCTGGCAGCCCCTGTTCCTCCAACATGTACCAGGGAATGGTGGCAAATCCAAGAATTAAACCCTGATTGACCCAACGCCGGCCCACGGAGCAGGCCAGGACCTTCCCCCACGCTTCAGAAGATCCTGGGAAACACACCTCCAGGACGCCAAGTGAAGGCAGGAGGACAGGGCTCAACGCCACATCATGGGGGCTGGTCTCGTTGACCTCCAGCGCTGGAGTTCAGGCTTTCACCCAGAGCCCATCCAAAAATCAACACGGTCTTGGACCATCCCTTGAAACACGTTCAACCTTTTGGGTGGAACACAAAGGAAAAAAAGCATCCCTCTCATTAGGAGCGGAAACAGCTTCTTAATCCACTCGAGGGGATTAGCTCAAATGCAAATTTGTAAGGCTAATTCTCCCCCCCGGCTCGTCTGCATGGAGATTAAGGGAGTCTGAGCTCCACATGGCCACCCAGCACAGTGTGTCCCCAGGGACAGCCCGCGCCCCAAACCCAGTCACCCTGCTCCTAAAGGGACGCAGGGCGCGCTGGCTTAGGGCAAAGCCGGAGCGCTTTCCCAGAGAGCTGCCGGCAGCGCCCCAGGACCGGGCGACGTTTCCGAAGGGATCAGAAATCCAACCTCGAGCGTACCGGGGGTGTGAAGGCTGGGCTCAGGGGAGGAAGAAAGGGAGCACGCGGTACGGCAGCGGGTGAAGTCATTCACCGAGCCCAAAGGGGCTCCGGGTCAGCTCGCTGCCAGCGGAGGAAATGAAGAAGAGGACCACAGCAGCGTGCGCAGAAGGACAAGAAGTCACGGGAGGTGCCTGCAACCACAAAATGTGAAACAAAGTGAGGAAAATCCACTTTCACAGAA